TTGGTCATTGTGATAGTTGGAGCTGTGTGTCAACCTGGCTGGACCCCAGTTTTGTGTGGTTGTTCCCATGATGGAATTGGATGACTGTGCTCTGAGTGGCCAATCTGTTGAAGGGACATTTCCCTAGGGGTGTGGCCTGCTTCCAGAATATCCAGGGACATCCTGGAAAGAGAGACATTCTTTTGTGGATCGGAATTCTGGTGTGCTGCCTACAACTGTCCGTGAGTGAGCAGTCCACCGTTTGGCCTGGAGATCTTGAATTCACTGGAGTCAACAGCCGGTGTACTGCCTGCCAGCCTTGAGCTTCCTGGCCCGAGGGGAAAAGCCTCCAGCCTGACATTTGCTCCAGGGACTTTGGACTTGCCGGCTTCTGTATGTTTGTGAACCATTTTCCTAAATTTCTCTCTCTCTTTATATATATATATAAGCTTTGCTGGTTTTTGTTTCTCTAGAGAACCCAGTCTAACAGTCATGTTGTCAGAAGGGACCATTCCCTGGAGAAGGATGTCATGCTTGGTAAGGTGGAGGGTCGACGAAAGAGGGGAAGGCCTTCAATGAGATGGACTGACACGGTGGCTGCGACAATGGGCTCAAGTATAAGGATCATGGAGCTGGCGTGGGCAGTGTTTCGTTCAGCTGTGCATGCGGTCACTATGAGTTGGAAACAACTTGACGGCACCTAACAACAACAAACACCCACTGCCACTGAGTTGATTTAGACAGGGAGAGACCAAAGATGAGCACTGTCCCTTATGAGACTCAGTACGTTTCTTGGGATTTACTTTTAAATGTTTCAGCAGAGAGCATCTGGTACAAATGTGTGTGAGCTGGCTGCCATCTGCGCCCTCGGTAAAGGTGGTTCATTAATTTCATGTGATGATCCTGATGTGAAAATACGATTACATCATCTGGGGATGATGAGTTTGCTCTGGGCCAACTAGTCAAAAGCCCAAACCAGAGGTAGCTACTAAGGCACTTAAGCTATATTTATCACTGATGCACAAAAAAGACTTTGTGAATTATCACTATGTTGTTGTTGTTGTTGTTGTTGTTAAGTGCCGTCGAGTCGTTTCCGACTCATAGCGACCCCATGCACAGCAGAACGAAACACTGC